GATGGTGTAAAACAGTTATATTTTTCTTTCATCAGACCATAGGACATTTCTCCAAAAAGTACGATCTTTGTCCCCATGTGCAGTTGCAAACCGTAGTCTAGCTTTTTTATGGCGGTTTTGGAACAGTGGCTTACAGGTTATGTCGATATAGGAATAGTTTTGCTGTGGATATAGATACTTTTGTACCTGTTTCCTCCAGCATCTTCACAAGGTCCTTTGCTGTTCTTCTGGAATTGATTTGCACTTTTCGCATTAAAGGACGTTCATCTCTAGGAGACAGAACGCGTCTCCTTCCTGAGCGTTATGACAGCTGCGTGGTCCCATGGTGTTTATACTTACATACTATTGTTTGTACAGATGAACGTGGTACCTTCAGGCGTTTGGAAGTTGCTCCAAAGGATGAACCAGACTTGTGGAGGTCTGGGGCTCCATGCAAGATCTCACCTCGTGGGGCATCAATGATCATGAGGAAGGTGAGGGATCAGCCCAGAACTACACGGCAGGACCTGGTCAATGACCTGAAGAGAGCTGGGACCACAGTCTCAAAGAAAACCATTAGTAACACACTATACCGTCATGGATTAAAATCCTGCAGCGCATGCAAGGTCCCCCTGCTCAAGCCAGCGCATGTCCAGGCCTGTCTGAAGTTTGCCAATGACCTTCTGGATGATCCAGAGGAGGAATGGGAGAAGGTCATGTGGTCTGATGAGACAAAAATAGAGCTTTTTGGTCTAAACTCCACTCGCCGTGTTTGGAGGAAGAAGAAGGATGAGTACAACCCCAAGAACACCATCCCAAACGTGAAGCATGGAGGTGGAAACATCAATCTTTGGGGATGCTTTTCTGCAAAGGGGACAGGACGACTGCACCGTATTAAGGGGAGGATGGATGTGGCCATGTATCGCGAGATCTTGGCCAACAACCTCCTTCCCTCAGTAAGAGCATTGAAGGTGGGTCGTGGCTGGGTCTTCCAGCATGACAACGACCCGAAACACACAGCCAGGGCAACTAAGGAGTGGCTCCGTAAGAAGCATCTCAAGGTCCTGGAGTGGGCTAGCCAGTCTCCAGACCTGAACCCAATAGAAAATCTTTGGAGGGAGCTGAATGTCCGTATTGCCCAGCAACAGCCCGAAACCTGAAGGATCTGGAGAAGGTCTGTATGGAGGAGTGGGCCAAAATCCCTGCTGCAGTGTGTGCAAACCTGGTCAAGACCTACAGGAAACGTATGATCTCTGTAATTGCAAACAAAGGTTTCTGTACCAAATATTAAGTTCTGCTTTTCTGATGTATCAAATACTTATGTCATGCAATAAAATGCAAATTAATTACTTAAAATTAATACAATGTGATTTTCTAGATTTTTGTTTTAGATTCCGACTCTCACAGTTGAAGTGTACCTATGATAAAAATTACAGACCTCTACATGCTTTGTAAGTAGAAAAACCTACAAAATCGGCAGTGTATCAAATACTTGTTCTCCCCACTGTATATATGTGTATGTATATGTATGTATATATTTATATATATACAGTGGCTTGGCATTTTTCCTATTTTGTTGCCTTACAACCTGGAATTAAAATGGATTTTTTTGGGGTTTGTATCATTTGATTTACACAACATGACTACCACTTTGAAGAAGTAAAATATTTTTTATTGTGAAACAAACAAGAAATAAGACAAAAAAACTGAACTTGAGCGTGCATAACTATCCTGCTGGAAGGTGAACCTCCGTCCCAGTCTCAAATCTCTGGAAGATTGAAACAGGTTTCCCTCAAGAATTTCCCTGTATTTAGCGCCATCCATCATTCCTTCAATTCTGACCAGTTTCCCAGTCCTTGCCGATGAAAAACATCCCCACAGCATGATACTGCCACCACCATGCTTCACTGTGGGGATGGTGTTCTCGGGGTGATGAGAGGTGTTGGGTTTGCGCCAGACATAGCGTTTTCCTTGAGGACAAAATGCTAAATTTTAGTCTCATCTGACCAGAGTACCTTCTTCCATATGTTTGGGGAGTCTCCCACATGGCATTTGGCGAACACCAAATATGTTTGCTTATTCTTTTCTTTAAGCAATGGCTTTATTCTGGCCACTCTTTGGTACAGCCCAGCTCTGTGGAGTGTATGGCTTAAAGTAGTCCTACGGACAGATACTCCAATCTCCGCTGTGGAGCTTTGCAGCTCCTTCAGGGTTATCTTTGGTCTCTTTGTTGCCTCTCTGGTTAATGCCCTCCTTGCCTGGTCCATGAGTTTTGGTGGGTGGCCCTCTCTTGGCAGGTTTGTTGTGGTGCCATATTCTTTCCATTTTTAATAATGGATTTAATGGTGCTCCGTGGGATGTTGAAAGTTTCTGATATTTTTTTATAACCCAACTCTGATCTGTACTTCTCCACAACTTTGTCCCTGACCTGTTTGGAGAGCTCCTTGGTCTTCATGGTGCCGCTTGCTTGGTGGTGCCCCTTGCTTAGTGGTATTGCAGACTCTGGGGCCTTTCAGAACATGTGACAGATCATGTGACATGATTGCACACAGCTGGACTTCATTTAACTAATTATGTGACTTCTGAAGGTAATTGGTTGCACCAGATCTTATTTAGGGGCTTCATAGCACAGGAGGTGAATACATATGCACGCACCACTTTTCCGTTATTTATTTTGTAGAATTTATTTTTTTAATTTCACTTCACCAATTTTGACTATTTTGTGTATGTCCATTATATGAAATCCAAATAAAAATCAATTTATATTACAGATTGTAATGCAACAAAATAGGAAAAATGCCAAGGGGGATTAATACTTTTGCAAGGCACTGTGTGTGTGTATATATATATATATATATATATATATATATATATATACAGTGGGGGAAAAAAGTATTTAGTCAGCCACCAATTGTGCAAGTTCTCCCACTTAAAAAGATGAGAGAGGCCTGTAATTTTCATCATAGGTACACGTCAACTATGACAGACAAAATGAGAAAAACATTTCCAGAAAATCACATTGTAGGATTTTTTATGATTTTATTTGCAAATTATGGTGGAAAATAAGTATTTGGTCACCTACAAACAAGCAAGATTTCTGGCTCTCACAGACCTGTAACTTCTTCTTTAAGAGGCTCCTCTGTCCTCCACTCGTTACCTGTATTAATGGCACCTTTTTGAACTTGTTATCAGTATAAAAGACACCTGTCCACAATCTCAAACAGTCACACTCCAAACTCCACTATGGCCAAGACCAAAGAGCTGTCAAAGGACACCAGAAACAAAATTGTAGACCTGCACCAGGCTGGGAAGACTGAATCTGCAATAGGTAAGCAGCTTGGTTTGAAGAAATCAACTGTGGGAGCAATTATTAGGAAATGGAAGACATACAAGACCACTGATAATCTCCCTCGATCTGGGGCTCCACGCAAGATCTCACCATGTGGGGTCAAAATGATCACAAGACCGGTGAGCAAAAATCCTAGAACCACACGGGGGGACCTAGTGAATGACCTGCAGAGAGCTGGGACCAAAGTAACAAAGCCTACAATCAGTAACACACTACGCCGCCAGGGACTCAAATCCTGCAGTGCCAGACGTGTCCCCCAGCTTAAGCCAGTACATGTCCAGGCCCGTCTGAAGTTTGCTCGAGTGCATTTGGATGATCCAGAAGAGGATTGGGAGAATGTCATATGGTCAGATTAAACCAAAATAGAACATTTTGGTAAAAACTCAACTCGTCGTGTTTGGAGGACAAAGAATGCTGAGTTGCATCCAAAGAACATCATACCTACTGTGAAGCATGGGGGTGGAAACATCATGCTTTGGGGCTGTTTTTCTGCCAAGGGACCAGGACGACTGATCCGTGTAAAGGAAAGAATGAATGGGGCCATGTATCGTGAGATTTTGAGTGAAAACCTCCTTCCATCAGCAAGGGCATTGAAGATGAAACATGGCTGGGTCTTTCAGCATGACAATGATCCCAAACACACCGCCCGGGAAACGAAGGAGTGGCTTCGTAAGAAGCATTTCAAGGTCCTGGAGTGGCTTAGCCAGTCTCCAGATCTCAACCCCATAGAAAATCTTTGGAGGGAGTTGAAAGTCCGTGTTGCCCAGCGACAGCCCCAAAACATCACTGCTCTAGAGGAGATCTGCATGGAGGAATGGGCCAAAATACCAGCAACAGTGTGTGAAAACCTTGTGAAGACTTACAGAAAACGTTTGACCTGTGTCATTGCCAACAAAGGGTATATAACAAAGTATTGAGGAACTTTTGTTATTGACCAAATACTTATTTTCCACCATAATTTGCAAATAAATTCATAAAAAATCCTACAATGTGATTTTCTGGAAAAAAAATTCTCAATTTGTCTGTCATAGTTGACGTGTACCTATGTACCTTTTTTCCCCCACTGTATATATGTGTGTGTGTGTGTGTGTGTGTGTGTGAATGTACGTATATGTATGTGTATGTATATATGTATGTGTATATATATATATATATATATATATATATATATATATATATATATATATTTGCCTGAAAAAAAACATGGGGGATTGGAAGTGATGCAGACAATTACATTGATGGAAGTTACAATCTATCTGCAATATTAAAGCTGATCTACCCCCCCAACATAAAAAAAATAAAAATAATCCACCAATGAACTTTAAATAAGGCACACCTGTTAATTGAAATGCATTCCAGGTGACTACCTCATGAAGTTGGTTGAGAGAATGCCAAGAGTGTGCAAAGCTGTTTTCAAGGCAACTGGAGCTATTTGAAGAATCTCAAATATAAAATATATTTTGATTTGTTTAGCACTTCTTTGGTTACTACATGATTCCATATGTGTTATTTCATAGTTTTGATGTCTTCACTATTATTCTGTAGAAAATAGTCAAAATAAAGAAAAAATGTTAAATGAGTAGGTGTCTAAAACTTTTGACCCGTAGTGTACACAGATTCAACAGTTAACCCTCTACTTCTCTTTCTCTCTTTCTTTCTCTCCCTCCCAGATTCAGACCTGAGCTTTCAGACATTGAGCATCCCCAGCCCTGCCCTCATTCTGCCTCCCCAGCCCCACCTCTACCCCCACTTCTCCCCCCACCCCCACCCCCACATCCACCCTCTCTTCCCCACATCCGCCTCATTCAACAGTGCCACCTCCTCCTGCAAAACAGTGGCCATGGTGCACGCCGACGCCCATCCCTTCTCCTCCACCTTCTCACGCCTCCACGCAACCCGGGACCACCACCAAGGGACATCGGTGCCCATCGACCTCCTGCCGGACCACATCTTCCTGGACATCTTCGCCCGCCTGCCCACCAACCAGCTGTGCTGCTGCGCCCGCGTCTGCCGCCGCTGGTACAACCTGGCATGGGCCCCCCGGCTGTGGCAGAGCATTCGGCTGACAGGCGACTTGCTCCATGCCGACCGAGCTTTGCGGGTGCTGACGCAGCGTCTCTGCAAGGACACGCCCAACGTGTGCCTGATGCTGGAGACGCTGGTGGCGAGCGGGTGCCGGAGGTTGACGGACCGTGGGCTGCACACAGTGGCTCAGTGCTGCCCTGAGCTGCGCTGCCTGGAGGTGGCGGGCTGCTATAATGTGTCAAACGAGGCGGTGTTCGAGGTGGTGTCATGCTGCCCCAACCTGGAGCACCTAGACGTCTCAGGTAAACATTTACATTACATTTGACATTTTAATCATTTAGCGGGCACTCTTATCCACGGCAACTTACAGTAAGTGCATTCAACCACTGTATGTTTAGTAGGAAAGAACAAACACATATCACAGTTATTGCGAGCAGAACCTTCTTTGCTATAGCCGCTATCAGCAGAGTCAGTGCCAGGAAGAAAATAAAAAAAGTGCGGATGTGAGTGCAAGAAAGAAAAGTACATGCCATAAATACAAAAGAACTGCGGCCCAGTGATATTATGGTGACTAAGGTGCCAATCCTCCTCTTGGAGAGGTAGCATCCCATACAGAAATCATTGATTGCAGCAAGGCTGCCTCGTTGCATTAATTTCCCGGTACAGTAGTAATGCATTGAAATAACTTATGAATTGTTATTAAAAAGAAGTATAACCAGAGCCTTGGGTAAAGTGGTAAAATGTCCAAGCAAATTCCTAAAGTATGACCTAGTTCTCCTGTTTTTCCAGAACCAGTGCCTGGGAGTAATGAATCATACTTGTAACCGTCCCTCCCACTCCCAGGATTACCCTGGGTGTGTAGAATGGATGTACAGGATAACAAGGTTATAGAATGTTTAAAGTCTCTTTAAAGTCTTACTCTTTCAATAATTCGTTCACATATTATTATGACTTACCATGCTGAAAACCTGAAATAAGTCAAATGACTAATATACCCCCCCCCACACACACACATAGAAAAATACATGTAGGCCTATAACACAACCCTAATTTGACTAGCACTTGTTGCAAGGTGAAAAGGGCTTCCGTCTTTGAGTTAGTAACTTGTACAGCGATGTGTTCAACAAGGGAAATAGTTCACGAAACGTTAGCTAACATTAGCTTACAGTGTGAGAAGATAGTGTGCAGCGAACGTAAGTATCTGTTTTGGGTCTAAACTGCCACTTCAAATAATCATGTGGCCATGTAGGCTTTCTATTAGTGGTAGTAGGAATAGCACAGTAATTTGTAGTTTGAATATTTTTGCTAAACTGCCACAGTAATCTTTACAAAAATTTGTTGTTTGATGTTTCACTGTAACATTTTGGAATGTTCATTCAAATCGTTCAACTGAAATTGTTACTTGTTGAACTCACCTCCGGTCAATCCAGTTTACAGACCTGCGTGAAACACACACCGAATGTCCAAATACTAGTTTTCCTGGAATAATAGAACCAATGTAATAGTCATTTAAGTGCAAATCCAAAGATAAATCAAGTGCACCACACATTTGACATGTAAACCAGTATGTATTTGACCCAGGTGGACTGCTAAGACAGCCCAACAACCCTCTTATGTTCTCTGTGGTATAAACTGTCCAGAGTCAAGTGTTGTTTGCCATGGTATTTCTCTCTCTCTACTCTCTCACTGCATACAGTTTCCAGAACAGTATTTTCAAATAGAAAGACCATGGAATGGGGAATAGGGGAATGGAATGACTATGGAACAGGACGCAGAATACCTGACGTGCATTCTATGCAATTAAATTAGTGGGGCTAAGGAAAGCGGCTTTGCTCTCAGTTGAATGTTGTGACTGTTTTGTAAGAAATGGGTTTTGTGGTGTACTGTATTTCATTTGTATTTTTGTTGTAGTTTTGATACAATAAATACTGAATACACCTAAATACTACATTCTCTCTCTCTCCCCCTCTCCCTCAAGGGTGCTCCAAGGTGACCTGCATCAGTCTGACACGGGAGGTCTCCCTCAAACTCTCGCCCATGCACGGCCAGCAGATCTCCATCCGCTACCTGGACATGACCGACTGCTTCGCCCTGGAGGACGAGGGCCTGCACACCATCGCCGCCAACTGCACCCAGCTCACCCACCTCTACCTGCGGCGCTGCGTGCGCCTTACCGACGAGGGTCTTCGCTACCTGGTCATCTACTGCCCCGCCGTGCGCGAGCTCAGCGTCAGCGACTGTCACTACGTCAGCGACGTTGGCCTACGCGAGATCGCCAAGCTCGAAGGCCGGTTGCGCTACTTGAGCGTGGCGCATTGCGGAAGGATCACCGACGTCGGGGTGCGGTATGTCGCTAAGTACTGCTCGCGGCTGCGCTACCTGAACGCGCGGGGCTGCGAGGGCCTTACAGACCATGGCCTGGAATACCTGGCCAAGAGTTGCCCCAAGCTCAAGTCGCTGGACATCGGGAAGTGCCCGCTAGTGTCGGATGCGGGCCTGGAACTGCTGGCGCTCAATTGCTTCAATCTGAAGCGGCTGAGCCTCAAGTCATGTGAGAGCATCACAGGCCGCGGGCTGCAGGTTGTGGCGGCCAACTGCTTCGACCTGCAGCTGCTCAACGTGCAGGACTGCGACGCCCCACTGGAGGTGCTGTGCTTTGTTAAGCGCCACTGCAAGGGTTGCATCATTGAGCACACAAACCCTGCCTTTTTCTGAGGAGACGGGCGGAAAGGGAATGGACTATGAACTGAAGCCTGTATCCCACACAGACGTACTGTAATATGCACAAACAATCCATCATTGTTTATCGCAGTGGAATTAAGACTGTTTAAGTTAGTTTTTCTCTGCAATTTAATTATGAGTAGGTTCACATGTACTGTGCTGTAATATGCACAGTCAAGGGGTCTGAATACTTTCCGAATGCACTGTATATATATTTTTTCTTTCTTTCTGAGGTTCACATGGAACATTCCACTGAAGAAGCCTCCCATACTGTTTTGCAATGCTGGTGGGCCATAGTTCCGAGTCCAAAAACTCAAGTCATTCCACATTGCTTAATTAAAGTGGCTGTACAGGAGTTTAGTTGCTAATTGTTTACATAACATTTTAGCATGAGTGTTGCTGTACGGTTCATATACGCAGATGATATAATATTAGTAAATGTTGAACTCATAAAACCACATCAACCTTAGTTTTATCTGACAATATGGTTCTATTCATGGGCATGAAATTGATTAGCAATATTTCTCTCCATTTAGGGCAGGGGTGTCAAACTCATTCCACAGAGGGCCAAGAGTCTGCAGTTTTTTTTTTCTTCCTTTCAATTAAGACCTAGACATCCAGAAGAGGGGGAGTTCATTATTAATTAGTGACCTTAATTCATCAATCAAGTACAAGGGTGGAGCGAAAGCCCGCAAACACTTGGTCCTTTGTGGAATGAGTTTGAAACGTGATTTAGAGGATTTAAAGTTTTGTATGGCCTTTTTAATCTATTACAATGTTTTTTTTTTATGTTGGCTTTTCAATTCAAGTCTAAAATGTGCTCTTATTCAATGTTTACATGTCATTCTTCTGCAATTTAAATGGTGTGTGGGGGGGGGGGGGGATTAAATGTCCAGTGCCATTTTGCTAAAGAATTGTGTACATTAGCACCACATTCTAACTAAGCTCAGACAATCACTAGAACAAGTGTGTTCACTACTCTCTTTTTATTGGTTTTGTTTAAAGACATAATGTCATGACTTCCGCCGAGGCAGCCTCCCCTCCTTGTTCAGTCAGGCTTCGGCGTTCGTCGTCACCAGCTTACTAGCCACTGCCGCTCCATATATCATCATTCCATTTGTCTTGTCTTGTTAATCACACACACCTGGTTCTTATCCCCTCATTAGTCTGTGTATAACTGTTCCCTCTGCCCCCCTTGTCTTGGGGTGATTGTTTATTCGTGAGAGTAGTGTAGCTCGGTGGAGCTACTCGTACCTTGTTTTTTGCCGGGAAGATTTCTCCTGTGCCGTTATTGTTGGAGCTACCGTTACCTTGTATTGCCAGGGTAGATTTTCCCCTGTGCCTGTTTCGTTTGTCGCTATCCAGCGCTATTTGTGTACAACGGAATAAACTCTGCATTTGGTGATTACCCTCCTGCGCCTGACTCCTTCTATCACACTCATCACAGAAATGACACGTCATAGTCAATGCTCTTTTGGGCCTGGAGGCGGCAGGCAGGGCACTCTCGCATCACCCAGGTATCAAACCCACCCACACTCTTTTCAGAGCCCTCTGCTGCGCACTGTACCCTACCTATCCACTTTCCCGATCACATGGTAGTTCCCCAGTGTAAGGCGCTAGTCGATTCAGGCGCAGCTGGGAACTTTATGGACACGACATTCTCACGCCGTCAAGGCATTTCATTGTTTCTCCTATCCATTCCACCCCCTATCAGAGCACTTGATAGTCGACCATTAGGGTCCGGGTTTGTAAAGGAAGTCACTGTACCAGTCACCATGATCACCCAGGAGACTCATTTTGAGCAGGTTACTTTTTCGATTATTGAGTCTCCTGCTTTCCCTGTGGTATTAGCTATCCCTTGGCTAGCACTCCACAACCCCACCTTCTCATGGCCGCAGAGGGTTCTCACGGGGTGGTCGCGAGAGTGTCAGGGTAGGTGTCTAGGTGTTTCCGTTGGTGCAACCACGGTGGAAAGTCCAGATGGTACCTCCACCGTGCGCATTCCCCCCAAATACCATGATCTGGCGCACGCGTTTTCGAAGACACAGGCGACAAAATTTCCACCTCATCGGGCGGGGGATTGCGTGATAAACCTTCGGGTAGACGCTGTACCTCCCAGGAGTCATGTGTACCCCCTGTCGCAGGCTGAAACGGAGGCTATGGAAACATACGTCACTGAGTCCCTGGGCCAGGGGTATATACATCCCTCCACTTCACCCGCCTCCTCAAGTTTCTTCTTTGTGAAGAAGAAAGACGGCGGTCTGCGCCCGTGCATTGATTATCGATCACTGAACAAGGAGACTATAAGATTTAGTTATCCTCTCCCCCTCATTCCTTCAGTGATTGAGTCAATGCATGGGGCGCGCTTCTTCACCAAATTAGATCTCAGGAGTGCATACAACCTGGTGTGTGTTCGGGAGGGGGATGAGTGGAAGACAGCATTCAGCACAACCACGGGGCATTATGAATACCTGGTGATGCCGTACAGTTTGATGAATGGTCCATCCGTCTTCCAGTCCTTTGTGAATGAGATGTTTCGGGACATGCTGGGTCGAGGTGTGGTGGTCTACATCGATGACATCCTGGTGTATTCTGCTACGCGCGCCGAGCATGTGTCCCTGGTTCGCAAAGTGCTGGCCCGACTGTTGGAAAATGACCTTCATGCCAAGGCAGAGAAGTGTATGTTTTTTCCAGCAGTCCGTCTCCTTCTTTGGATACCGCATTACCACCTCAGTTGTGGAGATGGAGGGAGATCGCATTTCAGTGTTTTATCCGGGGCTTTGGCAAGGTCACAGCTCCCATTACATCCCTGTTGAAGGGTGGGCCGTCCCGGCTCTGTTGGTCTGCGGAGGCTGACCTGGCCTTCAGCAAACTGCGGGGTCTCTTCACCTCAGCCCCGGTACTGGCCCACCCCGATCCATCACTACCGTTCGTAATGGAGGTGGATGTGTTTGAGGTAGGGATAGGCGCTGTCCTGTCTCAACGCTCGGGCATGCCACCGAAGCTCCGTCCCTGTGGCTTCTTCTCAAAGAAGCTCAGCCCGGCGGAGCAGAACTACGACGTTGGTGATCAGGAGCTGTTGGCTGATGTCCGAGCTTTAACCATGTGGAGACATTGGCTCGAAGGGGCGAAACACCCTTTCCTTGTTTGGACAGACGACCGTAACCTCCTCTGGTCACCCAGGTATCGGTCGTACAGTGCGCTGCCTGACCGGAAAGTACTGGTGGCCTACCTTGGCTAAGGACGTGAGGGTGTACGTCTCCTCCTGCTCGGTGTGCGCCCAGAGTAAGGCACCCTGGCACCTCCCAGCGGGTAAGTTACAACCTTTACCAGTCCACAACGACCATCGTCTCACCTAAGTGTTGATTTTTTGACTGATCTTCCCCTCTCCCAAGGTAACACCACCATCCTGGTCGTTGTGGACCGCTTTTCCAAGTCCTGCCTCCTCCTTCCTCTGCCCGGTCTCCCCACGGCCCTGCAAACTGTGGAGGCCCTGTTTACTCACGTCTTCCGGCACTACGGGGTACCAGAGGATCTAGTGTCCGACCGAGGTCCCCAGTTCACGTCCAAGGTCTGGAAGGTGTTCATGGAACGTCTGGGGGTCTCGGTCAGCCTGACCTCTGGGTTCCACCCTGAGTCAAATGGGCAGGTGGAACGGGTAAATCAGGATGTGGGTAGGTTCATGCGGTCCTACTGCCATGACCAGCCGGGGGAGTGGTCGGTGTTCTTGCCATGGGCGGAATATGCCCAGAACTCTCTCCACCACTCCTCTACTAACCTAACGCCATTCCAACCGGTTCTGGCACCGTGGCACCAGAGCCAGACCGAGGCTCCTGCGGTGGATGACTGGTTTCGGTGCGCGGAGGAGACGTGGGACGCTGCTCACGTTCACCTCCAGCGTGCCGTGCGTCGTCAGAAGGCCAACGCTGACCGCCACCGCAGTGAGGCCCCGGTCTTCGTACCGGGGGATCGGGTCTGGCTCTCGACCCGGAATCTGCCCCTCCACCTGCCCTGCCAGAAGCTGAGCCCGCGGTTTGTTGGGGCCGTTCAAAGTCCTAAGGAGAATCAACAAGGTCACATATAGGTTATTACTTCCCCCTGATTACCGTATTAACCCCTCGTTTCATGTGTCTCTCCTCAGGCCGGTGGTGGTTGGTCCGCTCCAGAAGTCTGAGGTGCGGGAGGTTCCTCCACCTCCTCTGGACATCGAGGGGGCCCCGGCATACTCTGTCCGTTCCATCCTGGATTCGAGGCGTCGGGTGGGGGGCCTTCAGTACCTCGTGGAGTGGGAGGGGTACGGTCTGGAGGAACGGTGCTGGGTCCCGGTGAGGGATATCCTCGATCCCTCCCTGTTGCGGGATTTCCACCGTCGCCATCCGGTTCGCCCTGCTCCGCGTCCTCCTGGCCGTCCCCGAGGCCGGGGTCGGCGCGCTGCTGGAGCTGCGCGTCAAAGGGGGGGGTACTGTCACGACTTCCGCCGAGGCAGCCTCCCCTCCTTGTTCGGGCAGGCTTCGGCGTTCGTCATCACCAGCTTACTAGCCACTGCCGCTCCATATATCATCATTCCATTTGTCTTGTCTTGTTAATTACACACACCTGGTTCTTATCCCCTCATTAGTCTGTGTATAAGTGTTCCCTCTGCCCCCCTTGTCCTTGTGGGTGATTGTTTATTCGTGAGAGTAGTGTAGCTCGGTGGAGCTACTCGTACCTTGTTATTGCCGGGGAAGATATTTCCCCTGTGCCTGTTATTGTTGGAGCTACCGTTACCTTGTATTGCCAGGGTAGATTTTCCCCTGTGCCTGTTTCTTTTGTCGCTATCCAGCGCTATTTGTGTCCGATGTAATAAACTCTGCATCCGGTGATTACGCTCTTGCGCCTGACTCCTTCTGTCACACTCATCACACATATGTGGAATATAATAACTAATGTTGAGTCATTTATGTCAAAAAAATTTATTATAGAATTATTCTGCACTTAAAGGGCAATTTTTCCAC